TGTATTTTTTGTAGAGATGGGGTTTCACCATGTTGCCCAGGCTGGTCTTGAACTTCTGGGCTCAAACAATCTGCCAGCCTTGGTCTCTCAAAGTGTTGGGATTACAGGCATGAGCCATGGAGCCCAGCAAAAAAAAAAAAAAAAATGTGTGTGTCTGTGTGTTTGTGTGTATAAATAATGGTGCACTGAGATCCAGGACACACCTATACATACAGAACTAAAAAGTTTTACAAAATATACTTTGTTTGACTACGTAAATAGCACTCTAACATAGCCTTACACTAGTCTGCTCTTTTTTTTTTTTTTGAGACTTGCTCTGTCACCCAGGCTGGAGTGCAGTGGCATAATCTCAGCTCACTGTAATCTCTGCCTCCCAGGTTCAAGTGATTCTCCAGCCTCAGCCTCCCAAGTAGTTGGACTGCAGGCGTGTGCCATCATGTCTGGCTAATTTTTGTATTTTTAGTAGAGACAGGATTTTACCATGTTGGCCAGGCTGGTCTTGAACTCCTGACCTCAGGTAATCCGCCTGCCTCAGCCTCCCAAAGTGCTGGGATTACAGGCATGAGCCACCACACCCTGCCTAGTCCACTTTTTTCTATTTCATTTTTAAAAATCCATTTCACAACTTGTAATAAGTTATAACAGAATCTGAAAAATACTTGTCTGTGTGTGTACAAAGTTTCCTTCCAACTCTAGCATTTTATGATGACACATGAATAAACTTGAAATAGGGCATGATTTCCTTAGGGACAGAGTTCATCCTAGCATCTGAAGGCTGCAGTGAGCTGAGATTGCACCACTGCACTCCAGTCTGGGTGACAGAGCGGGCGGTTTGTCTTGAAAATAAATAAATAATAGGCCCTTCACACAGGCTTATTGGGGGAGTTGAATCAGTGAATACATGTAAAGTAATTAAATAATCCTAGAACAGGTAAACCCTAATATCTATTAAAGGTCATAGATTAACTGTTATTCAGCAAATATTACACTTCCCCTACCTTCTCCACCTCCATTGATATTGGGCTTAGTTATGTGACTTGATTTTAACAACGGAATGAGGCAGAAGTGACAGCGTGCCAGTTCCAAACCAAGGCTTTTAAAGATTCCGTGTGTTTCTGCTTGCCACTTTGAGCACTTTTCGCTTATGCCATGGGAAGACATTGGCCTAGGTTGCTCACTGATCCAAGAAGAGGGATGCTAGAACTAAATAGAACCCATGACCTAGAGTCAAGCACAACAAACTCAGTCCAGACCAGCCACATCTGAACCCCAACCCCAACCCCAACCTTGCAGATGCATAAGAAATAAATGCTTGTTTATTGTACAATTCTAGGTTTTTGGAGTTGTTTGTTATGCAGCATTCCTGTGGCAACAGCTAGCTGATACAACTCTTACAGGTGTTGCTGTTGCTATTAACTTAGTTAGCATTTTTCAAACACCTGCTGTGGGCCAGGCACTGTGACACTAGAAAGAGCACCTGGAGCCTTGGAGGATGCAGAGATGAATACAGGTTCTCCTTAAGGAGTGAACACTTTATCAGGATGGGGTGACACTGGACGAGTGATTGCCAAGGGCTGCAAACTTTGTCCTACAAAGGATCCCAGAGAAGGAAGCTACACTGATCTGCTTTTTAAAAAAAATTTTTTAAGCATTTTAACTTCCAACGTTCTATGAAGCTTGGTGGTCAGGAATCTGTTTGCCCTGATTCAACCCATCACTAATGCAGGGTAAATAAGACGTCAGGCTCTGGGTAGAGAGAAGGGATGTGATCCTGGCTCTGTCGATTAAGTGAGTGACTTTGTGCATGTTTCTTTCTGAGCCTTAGTTTTCCCATCTGTTAAAACAGGGAGAGTGGCAGTGCCTGCTTGAAAGGCTGTACAGATTAAATGAGATAATAAAAGTCAAGGGCTTGACAGAGACTCTAGGGCATAGGAAACACTCAAGACTTGCTTGCAATTATTAGTTGCACTGGCATTGGAATTAGGGCAGTGTATCTTAAGCAGGGGAGACATTTTTTCCTTATTGCCGTCCTCTAAGAAATTTTAATACCAAAGTTATATGGTATATCTGTTTGTGTACTATATGTATATCTGTGCTTTATATACCAAAAGAGAGAGATTGTTTTTCTGGCCTTTCAAGAGCAAACTTTCCTGCCTTGGGAGTTCTATTGCCCCTATGGAGGAATGCATGGAATAAAGGTTTGGAATAGCCCTGAGCTGAACAAGTGATATCTGTGCTCCCAGAGGAATATTTCTTTGCTTTCTTCTTTTTTTTTTCTTCAAGACAGAGTCTTGTTCTGTCACCCAGGCTGGAGGGCAGTGGCACGATCTTGGCTCACTGCAATCTCTGCCTCAGCCTTCCAAGTAGCTGGGATAACAGGCGCCTGCCACCATGCCTGGCTAATTTTTATATTTTTAGTAAAGACGAGGTTTCACTTTGTTGGCCAGGCTGGTCTCGAACTCCTGACCTTGTGATCTGCCTGCCTAGGCCTCCCAAAGTGCTGGGATTACAGGTGTGAGCCACCATGCCCAGCCTTCCCTTCCCTTCCCTTCCTTTCCCTTCCTTCCTTTCTTTCTCTTTATTTCCTTCCTTCCTTCCTTTTTCTTTCTTCTTCCTTTTTTATTTTTTTTGAGACAGGTCTCACTTTGTCACTCAGGCTGGAGTACAGTGATACAAGCATGGCTCACTACAGCCTCAACCTCCCTGACTCAAGCGATCCTCCTGTGTCAGTCTCCCAAGTAGCTGGGACCCCAGGTGTGGGCCACCATGCCCAGCTAATTTTTAAAATTAGGCCCAGATTGAAAATGTTCTATGTGTTAACAGTCAGCGTTTTCATTAGCACAGCGCTATGCATCCTATCCCCTCCTCTCTGCTTTCTTCCAAACCTTCCCCATCTACTCCTAAAGGCTTATCAATCCTCCATCTGCACCTCCCAGCACTTGGGTCTCTTGTTCTCTTCTTTTTTTTTTTTTTTTTTTTAGATGGAGTTTCGCTCTTGTTACCCAGGCTGGAGTGCAATGGCGCAATCTCGGCTCACCGCAACCTCCGCCTCCTGGGTTCAGGCAATTCTCCTGTCTCAGACTCCTGAGTAGCTGGGATTACAGGCACGCGCCACCATGCCCAGCTAATTTTTCGTATTTTTAGTAGAGACGGGGTTTCACCATGTTGACCAGGATGGTGTCGATCTCTTGACCTCATGATCCACCCGCCTCGGCCTCCCAAAGTGCTGGGATCTTGTTCTCTTCTTATTAGCTGAACACTTCCTCCCTTTTCTGACCTCCTCAGGCTCCAAATTCCTTTAATATTGCCTGGATTTTTTTTCTCTTATGCCATCAAATGGCTTCCTGGAACAAGTCTCTTTTTCCTACTGGGAAGTAAGTACTGTTCAGAATTTGCCCAGGCTCAAGCCTGTAATCCCAGCACTTTGGGAGGCCAAGGCTGGAGGACTGCTTAAAGCCAGGAGTTCAAGACAAGCCTGGGCAACATAGCAAGACCCCATTTTGTCAGGCATAAAAAAATGTGCCAGGCATGGTGGAATGCACCTGCAGTCCCAGCTACTGGGGAGGCTGAGGTGGGAGGATTTCTTGAGCCTAGGAGTTCGAGGCTGCAGTGAGCTATGATCAGCCTGGTTGACAGAGCAAGACCCTGTCTCTTAGGAAAAAAAAAAAAAAAAAAGAACTGATCAGAAGTTCCTTTGCCTCCTGGAGCTAAGCATCTTACCTATACACACAACAAATGATGAGGACAACATGATTTTTCAAATATTAATAGTTTGATTGCTAATTTTCTTTAGTCTTTTTTTCTTTTTTTTGAAACAGAGTCTCACTCTGTTGCCCAGCCTGGAGTGCAGTGGCACCATCTTGGCTCACTGCAATCTCTGCCTCTTGGATTCAAGCAATTCTTCTGCCTCAGCCTCCCGGGTAGCTGGGATTACAAGTATATGCCTGCCTAATTTTTTGTATTTTTAGTAGAGACATGGTTTTATCATGTTGGCCAGGCTGATCTCCAACTCCTGACCTCAGGTGATCCACCTGTTTCAGCCTCCCAAAGTGCTGGGATTACAGGTGTGAGCCACCACACCTGGCCTTTTCTTTAGTCTTGATGTGCCACCTTTGTTGACTTATTTAGGCTTTAAATAACATGAGGGCAGAACTACCTCTGAACTCCCTTTTCCCCCAGTAGGTTCTGAACACATAAATGCTGATTGTCTCAATGCCTATAGGATATGCTAAACTGTAAGTGGCCACTGGCAGCTCACAAAAAAATGTGATTTCATTTGTCCATCTCGGTGTTTTTACTTTTTTTTTTTTTTTTTTTTGAGACGGAGTTTCACTCGTTACCCAGGCTGGAATGCAATGGCATAATCTCAGCTCACTGCAACCTCCACCTCCTGGGTTCAGGCAATTCTCTTGCCTCAGCCTCCTGAGTAGCTGGGATTACAGGCACGTGCCACCATGCCCAGCTAATTTTTTGTATTTTTAGTAGAGACGGGGTTTCACCATGTTGACCAGGATGGTCTTGATCTCTTGACCTTGTGATCCACCCGCCTCGGCCTCCCAAAGTGCTGGGATTACAGGCTTGAGCCACCGCAACCGGCCCCATTTTTACTTTTAAAAATGATTTTGAAATACATAAACATCAGGTTTCACATAAAACCTCAAATATATGGCTTCTGCTGAAAAATATGAGGATCTCGCCACACTGATCCCGCCTTGCCACATAACCACTGTGGACTGAACTTCACCACCTCCAGGAGGCACAGGGTGCACACGTCCCCATTTCCCACAACCCTTACCTGACTTTTGTAATTGAAGACAATTAGCTTGGCATCTCTAAACACTGAATTCTCAACTCTTGTATTTAAAAAAAAAAAAAAAAACAATCTATGAGATTGGAAGGATACATTAATTCTATTGCCAAGCCTCCTTAATGACTGCACCCCTAAATCCACTGATTTTATTTTCTTCCCAGCATATGATCCTAGCTTAATAAATGCTTACCATAGCCATTTCCAGGAGCATCTCGCAGAGAGTGCCCATATGAGTTTGCCATCTCCATGGATGTCATTTCAATGCTTTCAGGGTGATCTTCATTCTCTCCCCAAAGGTTGCCCAAGAAGCCATTGCTCCTGGGATGAAATGACGGCTGGATTGAAGATGTTCTGCTGAGCACCCTAAAATCCCAAAATAATGGATCACTATCCAACCAGGAGTATGGTAAGGATTGTTATGCATGTATCCATCCATCCATCCATCTCATCCATGTATCCATCCATTCAATCATATATTCATCCATCCATTTATCCATCCACCCATCCGTCCATTCTTCCATTTACCTATTCATCCAGCCATTGATTCATCCATTTATCCATCTATCCATCCACTCATCCATCCAACCATACATACATTTATCCATCCATCTATCCATCCATGTATCTATCCATTCATTAATGTATCCATCTATATCCATCTATCCATCCATTCCATTCCATTCCATTTCACAAATGCAGACTAAATGCCAACCCTGAGTTAGGGATGGGCTAGGAAGTGAGGATATCAAGAAAAAAACATGGGGTATCTGCCCTCAAGAAGCTCCCAGTACAAGTTGGTACGGCTTCTCAGACACAGCTATGAGCAATTATACTAAAAGTAGAAACTGGTGAGTATCCAAAGACAGGCCCAGGTCGTTCAGAGGAAAGAGTTGACCTATTTAGGCCAACTAAAGAGAGTTTTGGGCTGGGAGCGGTGGCTCAAGCTTGTAATCCCAGCACTTTGGGAGGCTGAGGCAGGTGGATCACGAGGTCAAGAGACAGAGACCATCCTGGTCAACATGGTGAAACCCCGTCTCTACTAAAAATAAGAAAATTAGCTGGGCATGGTAGCGCGTGCCTGTAATCCCAGCTACTCAGGAGGCTGAGGCGGGAGAATTGCCTGAACCCAGGAGGTGGAGGTTGCAGTGAGCCAAGTTTGTGCCATTGCACTCCAGCCTAGGTAACAAGAGCAAAACTCCGTCTCAAAGAAAAAAAAAAAAGAGTTTTGGGAGAAATCTCCATGGAAAGATACATGTGAGCAGGGGACTGAAAGGATACATAGGGGGAGGGCATTCCAAGGATGAAGAACAGCATAAAAAAAGGTGTGAGGCCAGAAAGTATTGAATATATAAAGGAAATGCTATGAAAATCAATTAGTAAGTAATAATTCTTAATTTAATACATATACCAATTCCCAAATTTCATCCCAGACAATTAAATCAGAAGCTCTGAAGGTTGGGCCCAGGCATCTGTATTATTTTTAAAGTTCCCCAGATAACTGGGTAACTGTAAGGACCAGCCAAAGTCAAGAACCACTGATCTAGAGTATAGGGTCAAGGTGGCAGATACACAGGAGACGTAAAAGGAGATCAGTCAGGCTGGTCTTTGGCTGGCATCTTACATTAACACGATGTATCCTTATTCATAAATGTTCTGTAAGTGAATTTGGGAGACCTTTCTCCCGAAGGCTATGGGGACCCACGGAAGATGAAAAGCAAAGGAGTGACAGGATCAAAGGTAGGCTTTGGAATGATGAGTCAGGCTTTGGATAACATGAAGATGGACATTTTCACCTGGTCCTGTTAACCCTACTATTTGGGTTCTAAAGACATCGTGACTGCTGCACACTCAAATCCTATATCCTTGTTCCTAAAGATAAATACAAGCCACCAGTTTTTTAAAAATTAAATTTATAAATATTACTAGTAGAAACAGTAAACACAAAATCAGACTCATATTGGTTAAAACTTCACATGGTAAATATTGTTATTGATGAAACCACAAACTGACTTTTTAAAAAATCACATCCTAGACTGGGCACAGTGGCTCATGTCTGTAATTCCCAGCACTTTGGGAGGCCGAGGAAGGTGAATTACTGGAGGTCAGGAGTTCAAGATCAGCCTGGCCAACATAGTGAAAACCTGTCTCTACTAAAAATACAAACACTAGCTGGGCATGGTGTTGCATGCCTGTAATCCCAGCTACTTGGGAGGCTGAGGCAGGAGAATCACTTTGAACCCAAGACATGGAAGTTGCAGTGAGCCAAGATTGTGCCACTGCACCCCAGCCTGGGCTACAGAGCGAGACTCTGTCTCAAAAAAAATAAATTACATTTTGCTAGCAACATGAACATGAAAAAAACTTAACCCAGAAAAAATTAGATTTGGTGGAACTAAGTCACCCAAACTAATGCTGTCAGTGGCAAAATTTGTCAAGGAACAAAAATTGACAGAAGATCAAAATCTTTTAGACAAAATTTAGATCTATAGACTCTAAACCTGGAAAAACTGAACTTGCTATTTAAAAACAGCCTTAAAGGAATACTGAAAATGATGAAAACTATAATTGATAAAATTTGATTAAAATAGCACAGATAATTGGTGAATCAAATCTGCAGTAAAGTTTTGGTGAAAAGTCATCAATTCTGACAATTTCAGTAAAATAGAAATAAAAGTGTAAAAATCAGAAGTGATAAAAACATGGCTGGGCATGGTAGCTAATGCCTGTAATCCCAGCAGTTCGGAGCTCAGGAGTTCAAGACCAGCCTGGGCAACGTGGCAAAACACCGTCTCTACAAAAAATACAAAAATTAGCTGGGCATAATAGGTGAATACCTGTAGTCCCAGCTACTTGGGAGGCTGAGGCAGGAGGATCAATTGAGCCCAGGAGGTTGAGGCTGCAGTGAGCTATGATTGTGCCACTGTACTCCAGGCTGGGTGACACAGCAAGATCCTGTCTCGAAAAAAAAATTTAATAACTAAATAAACAACAAAAAACCCAAAGAAGTGGCGCAATATCTTACTTAAAAAACTTATTGACTTCATGGAATTAGATCTCCAAAAGATTTTCTGGATAACAATTCATTACTGTTGATGTAATTCTGATTAAAGTGTTTGGATTTATGAGTGTCAAGCCTTAACCCTACCCTGTTGGCAGGGTCGAAACAGTGTGGATCTAGATGTCTTACAGGGATCGAATTAGGAAGAGGTGGGATAATGGGAAGGTGATCCAAGTAAGAAGTGGTGGAAGATTAAGTTCAGGTAAGGGCTCGAAGCCTCAAACTGAGAGTCCATGAGCCAGGTGAGGTCTACAGGTAGATATGCGAGTTTCACCACAACTTCAGGTCATGGAACCCATCATATATATCCATAATGTAAACCACACCAACCAAATTCCATTGACTTGATGATCCAGCACTCAGCCTCCACTCCCAATGAAGGGATATATACCAGAACTTACACCCTGGTCATCTTTGGGGTCTCAGAAGAGCCATAATCATGACCATTCTCAGCATCTGAATAGTCAGGTTCTCCCCAAGCACTTGATGAGTTCTGATTGTCCTCAGTTCCCGGATAGTCTGGCTCCCCAAAAAAGGGTGGAGAGTTAGGTTGAATCTCAGCACCTGGATAATCAGGCTCTCCCAGAGAATCTGTGTATGGATTGATTCTGAAACCTCTATGTTTTAGATTCCTTCTGGAGCCTGGACGGTTCAAGTTGGCCCTGGGTCCAGGATGATCAGAGTTGCTCTGAGCTCCAGGGTAGTCCGGTTTTCCTAAGGAGCCAAAATAATCTGGATGTGTTCTGGAGGCTGCATAGTTTCCACTGCTGCTGGAGCCTACAAAATCAGGATTTCGTTGAGATCCAGGGTAGTCTGGCTGTCTGGATGATGGTCGGTGGTACAGATGACTCTGAAATTCACTATAATCTGGCTCTGGTAGAGAGATAGGATGGTCTGGGCTTGTTCTAGAGGCTGAAGAGTATGCTTCACTTCTGGTTCCAGAATAGTCTGGATTACTCAGAGATCCAGGATAGTCTGGACGTGCTCTGGAGTCTACAGAGTATGGATTGTTCCTGGTGCCGGAGTTGTGTGGATTGTTTGAAGGACCCAGAGCATCTGGATAACCCTGAGTTTTCGAATACCCTTGTGTACGGTTCGGAGACCTTGAATAGTCAAGGTAATCTGGGTCTTCCTCAAACCCGTTATTCCTGTAGTAGGCAGACATGTTGGTACAGACTCTTCACCCTGGAGTGGTAAACTCTCCCAGCATTTGCAATTACTCAGGAATCGCTCTTTTTTTTTTTTCACCTGAAAAACAAGAAGAAAAGAAAAGTCAGATTTTTTTCCCTTTCTTCCCTGCAGAGATGGCTGGTTACCTTCCAATATCTGCTCTCCGTTCATTCGTAGTGGAGTATACAACTACCAAGAATAAAGATTAAGTTTCTGGCTTCTCTTGCACCAAGTTATGAACGAGGGTGGTCAATGGGATGAGAAGAGCAGGTAACATACAACTTCCAGGCTGAGCTGTTAGAGGGAAGAAGTTATTCCCCGCTTTCTCCATCTTGCTTCCTGTGGGCTGGAATGCGGAAATGACAGCACACCACCTTGGGTCATGCGCACGAAGCCAAGACCTGCATTCGGAATAAATACTCAATGGAGGGAAGGTTGCTGGGTTGCTGATGACTTACTTCACAGAGCACAGCTATTGTATCAGCTCAGACTATTAGGTGAGAGAGAAAGAAAATTATCTTGTTTAAACAAGACCACATGGAACTAAGCTTACCTCTTGAACAATACATTCCTTTGGTTGTGGGGGAAGAGAACAGTGAACCAAAGGATTCAAAGAAACAAAGACTTTTTGCACTTTTTGATTACACTTAAGGTTCTAGGGGTCAAAGCCTAAATTAATATGAGTGCATAAAAAAATGGTTAATGGAAACTAGAGGACTGGGTAAGCAGACAATTGCTGTGACCCCTTCCAATTTGCAAGTAAGATTTTATGAGCTCCATAAGCTCTGATCTGCAGACCACAGCATACTTTTGTTAAATTTAGCCCAAAGCTACCTCCTAACATGTTTTAAGTTTGGCCTAAAGATTTCTCTGTACATAATGAACCGCGACCTAACTGGAGGTGTCAACAGACTGTAGCCTACTCTTATATCAATCACCGAATTTCAGCCAATCTCAGGCAGCTAATTGTTCCACCTGTGTTCAAATAAGGCAAATGCTGAGGCTTACTGGGAAAGAGGTGCTCTTATTTCACTGGGATGGCTATGGGGATAGACTATAGAAGTCAGTCTGGAGCTTCCGGCATCGTGCCAGAGGGAATAGAGTAAAAAAGTAATTAGTAGGGGAGAAAATTTAAAGAAAGGATCAATAGGATTTGTTGGCTGATCCATTAGGGAAGGGGGAGAAGGAAAATAAAAGAAGCATAAGTCTACAGTTTCAAGCCAGCATGATGAGAGGAATGGTGATGTTTTTGAAAGGAAGTAGAACATTTTTAAAGCTCAGCCAACTTTTACAGGTTTATCTCTATGTAAATGACAAGGGTTAGACTTGAGTAATCAGAGCTAAAACAATATTAACTTTCTGCCAACACCCGTGGTCTCAGAATGTTCATGTGCCCACCCACGCCCATATTTTCTCAGCATAGGTGACATCTCAGCATGTGTTTCATTATCGTGTCCTGCCCGGCATCCATTTCTCTCTTTTGTAGTTGATGCTTTTCCTTGGGTAACACCTCTCCCACACTGTCAGTCCCTGTGGGCCAGGTGTGGGATATTGTGACATGGTAAAATCCCCATAAAACTGCATACGTCAACCATACCTTGGCTTTCTGTTGAAACTGCTCTCTGTAACCCTAATGTGACAGGCGAGCAGACCAAACCCACACCATCTTGGCCCCTGCAACTTGTAATAAGTCACTAAGGTCTGTAATTTCCACCACTACTCAGACAATGTATAAACTAACACTAATCTTGACTTCCGTAATCCACTTAAGTAACAATCGAAATATCCGAAGTCCCCTGACCCTCAGAATGTCTGGAGCCCCTCACCCTCATCTCTGCCCAGGAGGTGATTTACCAAATCCAATGGCCCTTGGAATGTCTGAAGCTCCTCACCCACACCCCCAAGGTGGTTTACAGGTATAAAAGGTCTTGACACCCTCCTTTCGGGGCCACCGGTTAGAGAGACGTTGAGTCCTTCGTGGCCGCCGGCAATAAAGACCCCGCAATTTGGCATACTTTTGTCTTGGTGTTGATTTTCTATGCTCACTCCAGTACAACAGTATGACCCATCAGAATTATTTTCTTCCTGGCAACAGTGATTCTGTCAGAACATACAACCCAGTTAAAGTCACTGAGATTCAATTCTGGGAGTTTTATCAGAACTGTAAGGAAGAGAGGAGTTGTCTTCTGCTGGCCTTGGAGTTAGGAAATTTTATTTTATTTTTTGAGACAGAGCCTCACTCTGCCATCCAGGCTGGAGTGCAGTAGCATGATCACAGCTCAGTGCAACCTCGACCTCACAGGCTTAGGTGATCCTCCTCATTCAGCCTTCTGAGTAGCTGGGACTACAGGTGTGCATCACCATGCCCACTTAATTTTTGTATTTTTGTAGGGATAGGGTTTCACTATGTTGCCCAAGCTGGTTTCAAACTCCTAGGCTCAAGTGATCTGTCTACCTCAGCCTCCCAAAGGGTTAGGATTACAGGCATTAGCCACTGCACTAGCCAGAGTAGAAAACTTTAAACCGGAAGCTGTCAGTGGTCACCAGTGGAGAAGGGCCTAAGAGTGATGCCAACCGGGAGGAGAACAGAACCAAGAGATAAACAGAAAGAGGACCCAGATGGTGATGACATCATTTAAACACCTGAATTCAGCCATACCTGAAGGCAGCTGGATGCCTGAGTCATTACATTCTCTTTTGAACTAAAGTTGGTTTGAGTTAGGTTTCTGTCATTTGCAAATGGAAAAGAAGAATTCTGACAAGTATGCCAAGTTTTGCAAACAGGAACACCTTTACAAACTGTCTGTAGTGCTCAGAAGACTAAATGTTGTGCTTTATTGCAAATTACTTTCCCTAACATGAAAAATAATCCTATTTGTTTACTTGTATTCTAAGACTAGAAAGTTATATTTATGCTCCAGAGATTTCCACAGCCTAACAAAGCTCAAAGCTATGACATCTAACCAGCTAAATGATGCCTAGTAAATTCAAATTTCTAGAAATTGAAAACAGATACAGCTGTATTGGCCCAAGAGAAATTAGTATTTCTACCAAAAGACAGGAAAAATGTTTACAGAAACTGTTTGTACGTCCGTCCGTCCTTCCTCCCTCCCTCCCTCCTTCCTTTTACTCTTTCCTTCCTTCTTCCCTCCCTCCTTCCTTCCTTTCACTCTTTCCTTCCTTCCTTCCTCCTTCCTTCCTTTCACTCTTTCCTTCCTTCCTCCCTCCTTCCTTCCTCTCTCCCTCCCTTTTTTCTTCCTTTCCTTCCTTCCCGCCTCCTTCCTTTCTCTCTTTCTTTCCTCCCTCCCTCCCTTTCATTCACTCGTTCATTCATTCATTCATTCTTTTACCCACAAAGTTCAAAAGCAGGCAAACTAATACATGATGACAGAAGTCAAAATGGGGGCTACCTTGGGGAAGGGAAGAGGTGAGTGCTGACTAGGAATTGCATGAGGGAATCTCTGGGGTGCTGGCTGGTGATCTTGGGGGTGGTTAAAGGCAGGCATATATATGTGTGTGTGTGTGTAAAAATCCATCAAGTTGCACACTTAAGAGCTGTGCCCTTCTCTGTAAGTATATACTCCTAAATTTTAAAAAGAAGATGAGAAACCAGAGGTTGTAACATAAAACCTTCCATTTCTCCTAGGAGCCATTATACCAGTTGAAAAAAGTGGTAGTGTTTTGGCTCACAAATATTTCCAGTTTTCTTATACATAAATCAAAGAAAATAGGCACTAATGAAAACAAAACCTAGGTGAAGACAGGTCTTCTAGGTGAATATACACTACCTGAATGGAATCATCTGTCTATGTGATGCTATGAAATGAAAGTGGTTAGGAGCCCAGCCCTTGGTATCAGATAGAACTCGGCTTAGTTTCCATTTGCTGGCTGTATGGACTTGGGTAAGTCACCTAATCCCTCTGAGTCTGTTTCTTCAACCATACAATACTGACAGTAATATGACATAGGATTGTTGTAAGGAATAAACAAGATAAGGCATAGAAGGCAGCCAGCATCAAGCAAGCAGTCATTGAATGGAAGCTATTATTTGCCATTATTTTTATCTATGTGTAATGTACACCCTGGCAACTTCCAGAAGAGATAGGAGTCAGTACACAATCAAAGTCATGCACTCAACCAGGACATGATTAAAGAAATAGGAAATGGGCCAGGCATGATGGCTCACATCTGTAATCCCAGCACTTTGGGAGACCAAGGCGGGAGGTTTCCTTGAGGCTAGGAGTTTGAGACCAGCCTGGGCAATATAACAAGACCCCCATCTCTACAAAAAAAAAAAAAAAAATTAGCCAGGCTTGGTGGTACATACCTGTAATCCCAGCCACTCAGGAGGCTAGGCGGGAGGATCGCTTGAGCCCAGAAGGTTGAGTATGCAGTGAGACCCTGTCTCAAAAAAAAAATAAAAAAAGAAAAGAAAAAGGAAATGTCTTATAATCAGGTAGAGGAAGGAGCAATCCTACAAAATTCCCAGGCTGACATAGTGACTGTAACTGAGAACTAAATTTTGCCCTGAGCTTCTTATCAGCCAGGACTAAAAGGGAATCATGACAAGTTATCTAATACTCACTATTTGTGGGGAAAGAAAGGCAGTATACCAATTTTTCAAGAGGACCACACTTCCTCCCAATATCAATTTCTGAAAAGAATTTATCATGAGAACTCTTTTTTTTTTTTGAGATAGAGTTTCACTCTTGTTACCCAGGCTGGAGTGCAATGGCGCCATCTCGGCTCACCGCAACCTCCACCTCCTGGGTTCAGGCAATTCTCCTGCCTCAGCCTCCTGAGTAGCTGGGATTACAGGCACGTGCCACTATGCCCAGCTAATTTTTTTGTATTTTTAGTAGAGACAGGGTTTCACCATGTTGACCAGGATGGTCTCAATCTCTTGACCTCGTGATCCACCCGCCTTGGCCTCCCAAAGTGCTGGGATTACAGGCTTGAGCCACCGTGCCTAGCCCATGAGAACTCTTTCAAAGGTATCGAATAACAATGTAATGAAGCCAGGACTCAGGGTCACCAGCAAACAAAGCAGTCAGAAGGGGGCTGCAGGAGTGTAGTTGGGAAGAGACTCTGGAGTCCGCTCCAGGTCATTGTGATGCAGGAAGACAATCACATATGGCTATCTCTGGCCAATGGGCTGTGAGCATAAGTGACTGTGTCACTTCCAAGTGAAAGCATTCAAGAGCCAAAATGAGACCCTCTAGTTTCCCTTCCACTGCCAAGGCAACCAGTGGTATTCCCATAGGGGGCCCAGTCACCAGCCTGGGTTCCTGCATGACTGCATGGACCACAGCCCACCTGCACCAACCCACCACAGAGTTTCACGAGCAAGAAACAAACTTTTATGTTTTAAGACATTTAGATTTTAAGGTAGTTTATTTTGATGCACCAGAGCTTAGACTAGCCTAACTGATACAAATCATTTTTGTCTTTGTTTTGAATCTTTGACAAATTTATATATATGTATGTATATATCCAAAACTTCATATATGTATATTATATGTACATATGTACAGACATATGCATACAATTTATGTATATATTTATTCATATATACATATATAATAGATCTACATATAAAATACATTATATATACACATTCATATAACACACACACACAAAAACACACATAGATTAGATAGATAAATAGGTGGGTGGACAGATGATTGATAGATAGATGTTATATGTGATCGGCCAACAATTAGCTTCAAGTCTGTTGCTGCAGTTCTCTCCTCCATTGTCATTTGACAAGAGCTTGTGTATTCCACGTCTGTTTCACAGTTGGGAACAAATGCTCTAAGCACTACCACCTGTACTACAACAAATACCTAAACAAACAGCTAACCCGACAGAAAAGGATTGGGAAAGAGAAAGGAGGAAATGACCACAAGGAAATAGTCTCTTGTACTGATGTCAAATGAAGCGGGTGTTGCCTCCTGAGAACCTCACCCTTAGCTTCCTGTTAGCTATTAGAGGAGTAAATGAGATATGCTGAAGATTCAAAGGCATGATAAAGCTTCCTGCTGCCTTGGAAAAAGCACAAAGAGGGTATTATTCTACTTTCTTTCTCCCTAGTTTTTGTTTCTCTAACACCTCCTCAATAAGGGCTATTGATCCATCAATTTCAAGTCCTCCTTTCCATATCCTATTTAGGGTTTTTCACTTCAGTTTGAATGGTTTTCAATCACATGACCAAGCAATGACATGTCTTCTAAGGCTGTTAATTGAGGATTCCTTATTTGATGTTGTAAGGCTTCCTGATTTGAATGGATCATCCAACTATCTTGTCTTTGTCATTCAGCTAATTCAGAAATCTTCAAGGGATCAATTACATCCTAGAATATGGATGAGGTCACATGCAAGCCATTCAACTGGCTCTCTGCTGCCTCCTACTTCTCCCAGCCTCAAGCTAGCGGAATGCGAGACCACCCACTCACGAGTTTCATTCTGCACCACCAAAATGATCTCACAAAACCCAGACACTCAGCCAGAATTGCTAAGGATTGCCAGGGCAAGCTTTGTGCATAATGACAAAAAACTGGAAGCAATTCAAACATTCACCAATAGGAGATGAGCTGAATCAGTCACAGGACATTTGCACAGGACATTGCACATATCATGGAACCGTCACAAAGGATGCTTTAGCTCTACAGGTGCCAGCAGAAGATGGCCAGCTATGATTCTTGTCTTTAATCTCCTTTCGCCATCTCCTGTCCCAGGCTTGGCTAGAACATGTGACCATGCAGCCTGTGAATTGTCCAAAAGTTAATTTTCTAATTGAGGCCATTTGTTACCCGAAAGACAGGAAAGAGAAACCAGGGCCTCACAAAACAGCAATCTGATCAGCACCAAGAGCAGAAAGTTGCCATGAGATAGGCAAAATGAGGCCACAATGTCCAATTTGAGCCACACGTTTCGTCTTCTAACAGGGTAAACTTTGTCATGAAAACATGATTAACCTTTCAACCTAAATGAAATCAACGTTCTGTTCTAGCAATGATCTTGTTAATGATACAAGATCACTACATACTTAAGATGTGTATTTAAAATTATAAAAATGATTCTACAGAAACTCTTAACTAGTTCCAATGAATCATCATTTATTTGACTCAAAACAGACCAAGGAACTTTTTAAAAATTGTTTTTGTAGCAGAGAGTGGAGAGAAGGAAAGAAACTAGTCCCACTAAAATTCTGTTTTGACATCTAAATACATTAAAGGCAACGACAGCTATCACAATTGACTATCACCATTATCGCATAAAACATTTTATAAACATTAAAGAAAAGGAGAGGGCAGGCCGGGTGCCTGCGGTTCAGGCCTATAATCCCAGCACTTTGGGAGGCCGAGGCAGGTGGATCATGAGGTCTGGAGTTCGAGACCAGCCTGACCAGTATGGTAAAACCCTGTCTCTACTAAAAATACAAAAATTAGCTGGGCACGGTGGCATGTGCCTGTAATCCCAGGTACCTGGGAGGCTGAGGTAGGAGAATCGCTTGATCCTGCGAGGTGGAGGTTGCAGTGAGCCAAGATGATGCCACTGTACTCCAGCCTGGGTGATAGAGCAAGACTCTATCTTAAAGAAAAAAAGAGTGAGACCCCATTTAGAAGGAAGGGTAGTTCATGTAACTGAATAAATTCAGCTGTATGGAAACTTACTTTTTTACCCTTATTGTTCTTGCTTTGTCCCAAATAGATACAAAGGTTGCATAAACCAACTTGATCTTAAGATGTTGGGAACACCGAAGTCACATGTCCATGAGTGTTTCAGTTTGGCATTTGATAGGAGCTGGGCTGTGGGTGATTTATGGAGGGTTATAGTCTGCAATGCTGGTTTGAAGTCTGAATATTCCAAGTTGCTGACTGTAGACAGAGCCTCACGTCCTGAAATTCAGAAGACAGAGGATTTAACTTCCATACAAGGTGGGCTCATGCTGTCCAACATCTAAAAACTCTTCTCCCTCATTACGACATATTTATGGCACAGGAGCTGACGTTTCAGGAAAAGATCCTAAAGGAATCTTTGAAATATGTTTTATTGCTCCTTCAATCTCTTTATCAATCACTCCTCCCCGGCACAATGACAAACCCAGTATTTCTGTAGTAGAAGTAAAAGACCTAAGACAGACCGTAGCTATTGAAACAGGATACCAAGATGCAAATGTCTAGTTAGAATAAATATTCCATCTGCACTTTAAATAAGCAAGTGTTACGCTTGTGCACACTGTAGACCTGACGCCCAGATTGTTTCCTTTCCACTTAGATGGTCCTCGAATCAAGCAGACATGGAGTACATGGTAGCTTTTTTTCAAGATTCCACCACCTGGGATAGTGAACTGTGCCAAGCTCTTTCTCTGCTATTTCCTGAAGTTCAACACCTTGCGAATCAGCCCCCGAGGGCCATACAGCCTCCATCTCCCAAGGCAAAGTTCACCTCGTGTCTCTCATGACAGGGGGATAACTTAGTGTTCCTTGGAAACTTAACAGAATGCAGTAAAGTCAGGTACTGCCAAAAGCCGACCCATCAGTCCACCCTTACTCATCCCCGAGCAGATGCATGGTGGTATTGTGGAGGGCCTTTACTGGACACTCTGCCAAACAAATGGAAGGGTACTGTTGCTCTAGTTCACTTGGCTAACCCTTTTACCCTGGCATTTCATCAACCAGAGAGAGAGAAAAACACGCCATAGGCAGATAAGAGAAGCCCCAAATGAAGCAGCCCCTTATGGGTCTTTTGATTCCCATATCTATTTAGATGCCATTGGAGTTCCTCATGGAGCACCAGAAAAATTTAAAGCCAGGAATCAAATAGCTACAGGGTTTGAGTCAATGTTGTTTTGGTGGGTAACAAATAATAAAAATGTAGATTGGATAAACTACATTTATTACCACCAGCAGCATTTGGTTAACTCTCCAAAAGATGCTGTTAAGGGAATAGCTGAACAATTAAGATCCACTAGTCAAAGGGCCTGGGAGACTAGGATAGCTTTAGATACGATATTAGCAGGAAAAGGTGGTGTTTGTGTTATGATCAAAACTCAGTGTTGCACCTTTCTCCCAAACAACACTGCTTCCAATGGAAACATAACACAAGCCCTCCAAGGGCTTACTGCCTCATCGAATGAGTTAGCAAAAAAATTCCGACATTTACAACCTTATTTCAAATTGGCTCGAGAGATGGATTGGTCAATGGAAAGAGACCATAGCCTCAATTCTCACTTCTTTAGCAACTGTAGTAGGGATACTCCCTCTTGTTGGGGGCTGTTTTATACCATGCATCTGCGGGCTAGTACAAAGACTAGTAAACACAGCACTTTTTAAAATCTCCTCGAACCCTCCCCAGCCTTATTCAGAAAAGTTACTTCTCATAGAAAGTCAAACAGAGGGCCAGGCACAGTGGCTCAAGCCTGTAATCCCAGCACTTTGGGAGGCCGAGGCGGGTGGATCACGAGGTCAAATGATCGAGACCATCCTGGTCAACATGGTGAAACCCCAGATCTACTAAAAATACAAAAAATTAGCTGGGCATGGTGGCGCGTGCCTGTAATCCCAGCTACTCAGGAGGCTGAGGCAGGAGAATTGCCTGAACCCAGGAGGCGGAGGTTGCAGTGAGCTGAGATCGCGCCATTGCACTCCAGCCTGGGTAACAAGAGCGAAACTCTGTCTCAAAAAAAAGAAAAGAAAGTCAAACAGAGCAGTTGAGTCAAGATATGTTGAATAAGTTTGAGGCGGAACCATAAAGTAAAAGAGGAAGAAATTTGTAAGCAGGAAATTTCCTCTTCAAAGTTCCTAAGAAGAATTCATAAGTGTTAGAAATAATAGTTTGTTTTAAACACTTTCTTCAAAAGCCTTCTTGCATTTTTGCTAGAAGCCCTATCCTATGTAGCTGTTAGACACGCTTACAGGCACCTACTACATTCTATCTCCTTGTACTTTAACCAAGATATCTGTGCCGAACGTGCTCCCGGGCATGTCCCAGCTTGCAGCCTATGTCCCTTCCTTATTTGTACTTCCTTTTTTTTGCTCTTCATTGCTTTTATCTCTTTAGAAAAGTTTCAAGTTATTAGCCAATCGGGTTTTAGTTTAGATTGTGAGGTCTGGCTCCAGCCAATGGAGATGGGACACAGCAGTAAGGACAACCCCAAATACATAAGAAATAAATGTCTGCCTTCCTTTACTCATTGTACCCTCGTGGCAAGATTGCTGGTGGGAGTACCCTTTCTGTAAGAAGTAAAAAGAATTGCTTTGCTGAGAGATCCTTTGTCCCAGTACTAATTTTTCTTTGTGGCACCAAATGAAAAATTTAATACATAACATTCTCCTTCCATCTTCACATGATCTTCACAAGCGAGTGAAGCTTCATGCTTCCATTTTACAGATGAGGCCACTGAGGCTCAGAAGGACTCCATAACTTTTCTGAGTTCTTACAGATGGTAAGTGGGCACAGAAATTTAAACGTAAATTGAATGAGTTCTTAACTGCTTCAGTGACCAATTTCCATGTAGGCTGGCTGAGTTGCTTTTTTATTACATATTTCATAATATATTTTGAAAAATCAATGAAGATTGCTTAATCAGAAACAGACACAGAGGGGGCTGGATGTGGTGGCTCATGCCTGTAATCCCAGCATTTTGGGAGGCTGAGGCGAGTGGATCACTTGAGCTCAGAAGTTTGAGACCAGTCTGTGCAACATGGTGAAACTCCATCTCTATGAAAATTTTTAAAAAATACTTAGCTGGGCATGGGGGTGAATGCTTAGTTCCAGCTTTTGTTTTGCTTTAAAAATCAACGTAATCATCTTAAAAGCATTTTTTATTGCCTTTTTTTTTTTTTTTTTTTTTTTTTTTTTGAGATGGAGTCTTGTTCTGTTACCCAGGCCGGAGTGCTTGAATTCCACTTCTGGGTATACATCCAAAATAATTGAAAGCAGGATCTAGAAAAGATATTTACATATCATGTTCATAGCAGCCTTATTTGCAAGAGTTAAAAGGTAGAAACCACCCAGGTGTTCATGGACAAAAGAATGGATAAACAGACTATGGTCTCTACATACAGTGGGTTATTGTTCAGCCTTAAAAAGGAAATGCTACAGCATGGATGAGCATTGAGGACATTAAGCTATGTGAAATAAGCCAGTCACAAAAAGACAAATACTGTCTGATTCTACTTATATGAGGTATCTGACACTCATAGAAACTGAAATAGAATAGTAGTTGCCAGGGGCTGGAAGGAGGGGGAAAAAGGAATTATTTAATGGGTATAGTGTTTCAGTTTTACAAGATGAACAGGTTCTAAAGATTGATTGCACAACAATGTGAAATACTCATTACATATCTTTTTTTACTACAATTTTTAAAAAGAATGCTCATGCCGGGCACGGTGGCTCACGCCTGTAATCCCAGCACTTTGGGAGGCCAAGGCAGGTGGATCACAAGGTCAAGAGATCAAGACCATCCTGGTCAACATGATGAAACCCCGTCTCTACTAAAAATACAAAAAATTAGCTGGGCATGGTGGCGTGTGCCTGTAATCTCAGCTACTCAGGAGGCTGAGGCAGGAGAATTGTTTAAACCCAGGAGGCAGAGGTTGCGGTGAGCTGAGATCGCGCCATTGCACTCCAGTCTGGCTAACAAGAGTGAAACTCCATCTAAAAAAAAAAAAGAGTGCTCATATGTTTAACAACAGTTACAATATTTCCACTTATAAAACGTTTCTGGCCAGGTGCAGTGGTTCACACCTGTAACTTTGGGAGGCCAAGGAGGGTGGATCACCTGAGGTCAGGAGTTTAAGACCAGCTGGGGATAGTGGTATGTGCCTGTAGTCCCAGTTGATTGGGAGGCTGAGGCTGAAGAATTGCGTGAACTTGGAAGGCGGAGGTTGCAGTAAGCCACTGCACTGCAGCCTGGGTGACAGTGCAAGACTCCGTCTCAAAAAGAAAAAAGAAATCACTGGCCGGGCACAGTGGCTCACGCCTATAATCCCAGCACTTTGGGAGGCTGAGGCAGGTGATCACGAAATCAAGAGATGGAGACCATCCTGGTCAACAAGGTGAAACACCGTCTCTACTAAAAATACAAAAAATTAGCTGGGCATGGTGGTGCACACCTGTAGTCCCAGCTACTTGGGAGGCTGAGGCAGGAGAATTGCTTGAACCCAGGAGGTGGAGGTTGTGGTGAGCCGAGATTGCACCATTGCACTCTGGCCTGGGTAATAAGAGTGAAACTTTCTCTCTCAAAAAAAAAAAAAAAGAAAGAAAGAAATTGCCACTCTATTGGTCTTATATACTCCTGATATTCACTGAGCAGCCTCTCACTTTGCTGTGCTGTCTACTTAGGGAAAAAATCCAAAAATTCGCCAGGTGTAGTGGCGGGTGCCTGTAATCCCAGCTATTTGGGAGGCTGAGGCAGGAGAATCATTGATCCCAGGAGGGGGAGGTTGCAGTGAGCCAAGATTGCACCATTGCACCTCAGCTTGGGCAACAGAACAAGACTCTTGTCTCAAAAAATAAAATAAAATTGTGCCATATACTTGAAGCCTCAAAGCAAGCACAATAAAATTGTTATTGAGACGTTGAACAGATATTCATCACAGCAATAAAAGGAAAACTAAAAATTGTAAAACTCCACATCCATGAACACATTGCCCTCCTGCCTCCACCAGACAAAGATGGCTGAGAAATGTGACGCTTTCATACTTACCTCTCCTCCCAGTGTGCAAGGAACGGAGGGGAGGCAAACCCAGGGGTTTTAAAGTGTGCAAAGGTGGCCAGGTGCAACACTTTGGGAGGCTGAGCTGGGAGGATTGCTTGAGACCAAGAGTTCAAGACCAGCCTCCTCTTGAGCCTGGGAGGTGGAGGTTGCAGTGAGCTGAGATCATGTTACTGCACACCAGCCTGAGAGACAGAGTGAAGTCTATCACTGCAGATCAGCCAGTGAGGAGCAGGGAGAGAGGCAGGAGGGAAAAATTGGATTTGTTACCATCACATAGAAGATGAGTATTTTTTAAAAAGTGAAGCACCAGGCATGGTGATGTATGCCTGTAATCCCAGCACTTTGGGAGGTTCAGACAGGAGGATCACCAGAGGTCAGGAGTTGGAGACCAGTGTGGCCAACATGGTGAAACCTCGTCTCTACTAAAAATACAAAAATTAGCCAGGCATGGTGGCTTATGCCTGTAGTCCCAGCTACTCAGGAGGCTGAGGTGGGAGGATTGCTTGGACCCGGGATGTGGAGGTTGCAGTGAGCAGAGATTGTGCCACTGCACTCCAGCCTAGGCAACAGAACAAGACTCCATCTTAAAAAAAAAAAAAAAAAGAAAAGGAATAAAAAAGATTTTTAAGATGATTAAATTGATTTTTGAAGAAAAACAAAAGCTGGAACTAGGCGCACACCACCATGCCCAGCTAATTTTTTAAAAAATATTTTTTGTAGAGATGAGGTTTCACCATGTTGCCCAAGCAAGGGAAACTGAACCCTCTTCTCGTTGAAGATTGGAGCTGCATTCATAAGACAAATTTAAGATTTGATAAGGGCTTGAACTTTGCTAAAAAAAAAAAAAAAAAAAAAAATAGGCATAGTTAAAAAAATGACCTGCCATTGCTTAGCTTTTCATCTAAGTTGCGTAATGCCCCAGAGTCACATAACTGAAGGTCCCAAGATTCATGTGTTTTTGTTTTTGTTTAATTTTGAGACAGGGTCTTGCTCAGTTGCCCAGGTTGGAGTGCAGAGGTGTGATCATAGCTCACTGCAGCCTGGACCTCCCAGGCTCAAGCTATCCTCCCACCTCAGCCTCAGCATCCCAGAGTGCTGGGATTACAAGTGTGAGCCACTACTCCTGGATGACTGCAAGGTTTATTAACTTCCCCAACTACCCCTATAGATAACACCACTACTGTGGTCTTTGGGCCAGGTGTGGTGCCTCATGCTTGTAATCCCAGCACTTTGAGATGCTGAGGTGAGAGAATGGCTTGAGCCCAGGAGTTTATGACGAGCCTGGGCAATATAGCAAGACCTTCATTTCTTTTTTTTTTTTTTTTAATTTTTTATTGGATTATAGGTTTTGGGGTACATGAGCAGAGCATGCAAGACAGTTGCGTAGGTACACACATGGCAGTGTGCTTTCTTTTCTTCTCCCCTTCACCCACATTTGGCTTTTCTCCCCAGGCTATCCCTCCCCACCTCCCCCTCCCACTGGCCCTCCCCTTTTCCCCCCAATAGACCCCAGTGTTAAGACCTTCATTTCTTAACCAAAGAAAAAAAGAACTGGTCTTCAAGATATTTTCAGATTTAGCACTTCAGCAGACCAGCAGACAAAGCTGTCCCCAGGATGGGAATAGACTCAGCTGCATGAAGACAGTTTAGACACCCCCATGATTTCCTCAACTGTTTCGGTTTCTCAGGCCCCCAGCTAGCCAAAG